TTTCTCTTTTCACTTTTTGTTTTCCCTTTATTTCGGGGCATGAAAAAAATTATTATTTTTTCAAACTTTATTTATAGGTTCTCTATTATGTAAGATACATATGTATAAAATTTCATGGCATTTGACAACTCCAAAAAAAAAAGACAGATCGCCGAAGATGGCGGTGTCAAAAACGTCCTCGCCCACAAAATAATTTCATTCTCGTTTTATTTTTTTTATTTTCATTAATATTATTTACTCTTCATATTTGATTTTTATTTCAAATTTGGTAACGAATTTGGATGTACTGTTGAGGCAAATGTTGTTTAGTTTATTCTTCTGCATTACATATATTTTTTTCAGATTTTTTGGAAACTTCTTTTTTTTTTTTTTTTTTTTTTTTTTTGGCCGAACGACCGAACGTGTCGCGAGGGGGTCCCGAACGTTCGGGCGTTCGGGTTCGGGTGTTCGGCCCGTCCCGAACGCTGGCAACCCTGGTTCGATTTATATTTCTGCATAACATTTTTTTTTTCGTTTTTTTTTTATTTTTTTTTGGCTTGGACCTGGTCCTTGCACGGCCTGGGGACTAGCCAAGCGTTACGCTTGGAGGCTGGGCTTTCGATCACCGTGTGGCCCAGGGTGACGCAAAACAGCCGCCGATTGCCCTCCACATCAACTGTGATGATGTTTACGAGTAGGGCGAGCGTTTTTTACCCGCTGACGGCCAATAGGAAGGTTTTTTTTTTTTTTTTTGGTGTTTTTGTTGGCCACTTTCCGTTGGCTCGAAGCTTCAATAACAACAATTTTTGACCCATGGGGTGATATCCAAGCTTCGCGCCAACGAATTTTCGCTTGGAAAGTCTGAAAAAAATGACGAGTTTTATGCAGTGCCCACAAATAAGGGCGAGAAATGTGGTGTCAGTGCATTCCTTCCAATAGGATGCACAAACCCTAATACGCGTCTACATTCTGAAAACATGGTTGTACGTTGCCTACAAAAGTGTCTAGGTGCCTAAACAGACATGAGTACCTCTTGGCCAACCCACGTCCGTACTTTCCCTATCATCACAAGGGCGCAGTGTCGGGGTGTCACATGTATTGGAATGAAAAGGATACGGTGTAATAATGACAGATGTCAGGGTTGTTTTTTTTTTTTTGCAGGAAAACCTTTATTTCCTATTTTTCAAACACATTTCGCATGCCACAGACCGTTTTACGCTTGGCTAGTGGGTCGAGGCCCCTGGCCCCACCCGAGACCCGGGCGGCCCGGCTCCCGCTGAAAAAAAAGGAAATTAAAAACAAGAGAAAAATGTATGCCATCTGTTCCCCTCCAGCTGAAGAAGCACTGAACCCCGGGGCCAAGTCCCACTAGCAGCGTTGAGCTACCTCAACGCCTGAATCTGGACGCTTTTGCGGAGAAGTGCAGAAATAGTGTTGAGTTTCCTGAACTGCACGTCTCCACAACCACGTCCAGATTCAGGCGTTGAGGTAGCTCAACGCTGCTAGTGGGACTTGGCCCCCCGCTCTCTCCCACCTCCAAAGGCTTGCTTTGTTCTTCAAATAAGAAGGCCGGCACCAAAAACAATCACCCAGTAAGCCCCCCCCCCCCCCCCTCCTCCCCAAATCATACGTACCTTGCCCCAAGAATCTTCCCTCACATACCCTCTTCCCTCACTAAGGGCATGCTCACACTACCCTCTTCCCCCCAAAGACAACGCACCCCCTCATTATGAAAATGTACACAAGCGCTCTTTCAGGTCGGAGGCAGGGTGCGTTGTGTTCGGGGGAACACGGTAGGACTTTTTACTTTCTCGACTGCTCTCTGGACCTACCGGCTACTAAGGAAGAGGAGCCAGCCCCACGCCATGAGAAGGTCAAGGTCCGTTTCCCTGAGCCCTTCAGTGGAAAGAAGGGGGAGGACTTTGACAATTGGGAAGCCAATGTCAATTCCTATCTGTACCTACAGGGAGTTCTGATTGTGGAATCAAGGTACGGCCGTAATTGCAGTCATACTGTCATCATACACATTTAGAGCGGTGCTACCGTCTTCCCGCGAACATAACGCACCCTAAAAATAAAAATGAATGTACTACACAAGCTATATTTCCGGCCAGTACAGCCAAAATAAGGGTGCGTTGTGATCAAGGGAAGACGGCAGTAAGGGTGCGCCCTAAGCCATTCCGCCCTCTTTTTTTTTTTTTTTTTGGGGGGGGGAAGCATCAATTTTATTGCGAAAAATAGCCCTCATTTTTTTTTCCTTTTCAAGGGGCGGGACAGCCTTGATTGCAATATCATCGTTATCGTTGAACTGACCGCCGCGGATAAATTTCTGAGTTGATTTATCACTCATCTGATTCCAGAGGGATTCGAACTCGGGTCTGTATTCAACAGGTCAACGGTGTACCAACTGAGCTCTGCCCTAAGCCATTCTTAAGAAAACACTGAATGAATGCAGCGCAGCTGTCACCCATGTAGACCAATCATGCCTCCCTCCCCCCTTCCACCTCTCCAACCAAACATACCACCCACCCGCACTGCACTCCCCGACCATATCATACGAACAAATCCACCAGCAGGGTTTGTTGCACACAAAAGCGGGCCCCATATGCCAGAGGGGGAGTGGAAACGCACAAGGTCGCTGTTTGGTGTGACACGGCGGGCCGAAGAAAACCGGAACGGCCAAACTTAACAAAAACCMCCCCCCCCCCCCCCCCCCCCCCCTTTCGAAAAAAAAAAAAAAGGAGATGTCTTTCTGACAGGCTTGTATCACAAAGGCGGCATGAACCACGACTACCTCACAGCCCCACCTGTCCCTTTCTTAAAAAATAATAATAAAAAAAAAAGGAAAAACCCAACCTGTCCCTTCTGTTTCGTCAACTCTGTGTCTTTCTGACAGGCTTGTATCACAAAGGCGGCATGAACCACGACTACCTCACAGCCCCACCTGTCCCTTTCTTATTAAAAAAAAAAAAAAAAAAAAAAGGAAAAACCCAACCTGTCCCTTCTGTTTCGTCAACTCTCTGCTTTCTCCTGCGGCCTTGCAGGCGTAGCGAGTGACCGGGGAAGGGGGCTATGTTCAGGCTGATTCGTAATCTGCACACGATACGCAACCAGGGGAGGATGCTGGGAGTGGCAAGAAGGGAGGAAAACACAGAGGGGGACCACGGGAAGCAATGAGAGTGGAGGGGGATAACATCAACTCCGACGTCGAGGCCAACGAGAGCGCACAAGACACACCCAGTTCATGTAGATGAGCGGTACCATCACCGAATGAGGAGACGCTGATGAACAGGACAAAGGGAAGATTGCCTTGCAAGCAATTCGTATATATATAGATATATACTTAATCTATTATGAGGATAGTATTATATAAGTTGTTTTTTAATAATCGAATAAATCAATAAATAATTAAAATAAATAAATAAACAAAATGAAGACGAGATAAGAAATGTTTACCAGTTGCTCTAGCTTGCGCCTGAGGTGATCATATCTCATAACGAAGTCCTCCTCTTTCCCCATAAAGAAAGTGTTAAACTTCTTCAGCTCTTCATTGAGCAGTTTGACGAATTCCTCTTCCTCAATGGTGAACGGACCCTGTACAGGAGCATCTAAACCCTCCTGAGGGAACAAGCCGCCGCCGCCTCCGGCTCCATTTCTCCCAGTGGCTGATAGTAAAAGGGAAAAGAAAAAAGAAAAAAAGAAAAAAAAACGACAAAAGAGCCACAAAAAAAACAAAAACACACCATCGCCGCCACCACCACCAATCGAAAGTGATCAGACGACAGACACGTGACAAACAATCTACACAGCAACCAATTAAGTGGAAAGGAAGAAGCTGGCTGACTTCAAAAAAAGAAAAAAAAAGAAAAAAAAAGAAAAAAAAGCTGGGGACTGAGAAATTCCGCAAGCACACCCAGCTGACTATTCTCAACAGGACTCAATTGATCACTCAACCGATCAATCAATCAATCAATCAATCATCAACCAATCAATCAATCAATTAATCAATCAATCAATCATCAACCAATCAATCGTTCAACCAATCAATCAACCAATCGATCGAGCAATCGATTAATCAATCAAAATCAAACAACGAATGAATGGATCAATCAATCAGCATGATTCAATCTGACAACCAGTCAATCTACCAACCGATCTACAAACAAACAGTCTCGCCCAATCAAGCAGTCGCCCAATCAATCAATCTACCAATCAATCTACCGACCAATCGATCAATCAAGCAGACAGATTATTAACAAAGCTCCAGAAAACAACGAGCCAATCAGAGAATCAATCAAGCCATCAAGCAAGAGCTCAACCTCCGAGTGGTCGGGCGATTCAACCAACCACACAGTTCACAAATCCACTGAGCTCGAAACGAATCTAATCATTTACGTGAATTAATCACACATTTCCATGGGTACCGTGGGATGGATCAATCAATTAAATGATCAGATCGACCCAATCTAGACCAATTAATCAACTACATAGTCCTCTTAGACTGGGTCGATCACACTTCCATGATACCGTGATGGATTAATCATTCATTCAACCAATCAATAAATCAATCAATCGTCAACCCCAATTAATCAATCACTCAATCAAATCATCGACCAACCAATCAATCAGCGAATCACCAACCAATCAATAAAACACCAGACACGTCACGACGTCGATCACTTTCACTAACCGACCAAGCAATAACTAATTGAACGACGAGCGTTTACCGTCAAACACTTCCCATCTTCTGACTGTATCGGACCGGATAAACATCTTGTGTACATTCATGCTGAAAAACCGAGCAAACCACTAGGGTAGTGAGAGCAACCGATGAAGCAAACCAGATCCAATCGACTATTCATTCCAACTCATCACACTGATTTGATTCGTTCTTTTTCAATCCTCCCTTCCCCTCCACACATTTCGAATGGACGCAAAGCAGGCCACAGCCAGGACAATGCACACGTGTTTCAATTCTTGTGATCGAAAAAGAATATGCAAGGAGAGAGAGAGAGAGAGATACGCTGCATAAAGAGAAGACGAGAGAGAGAGGGGGGTGGAAAGAGAGAGAGGAGGAAAGAGGGCGAGCAATGAGAGAAGGGACATAGAAGAAACCAAGGCCAAGGAATACACAGAGGCAGAGAAGAGAGAAAAAGAGAGGAGGGGGGAGGCTCTTGTGATCGAAAAGGAATAGGCAAGAAGAGAGACACAGACGCGGGATACAAAGAAGACGAGAGAGAGAGAGAGAGAAAGAGAGAGAGAGGGAGGCAGAAACACAGACAGAGACACAGAGAGAGCAATACGAGAGAAGGAATCAGAAGAAACCAAGACCTAGGGATACACAGAGGCAGAGAAGGAAGAAGGAGAGAGGAGGGAGGGAGGCAAAGAGCGGAGGAGCGGGATGGAAGGGGAGGCCAGGGAGAGGAAATAGCGAGAGAAATGGATACTACGTAATATGACCATTAGCTGAGAGACCGAAAGCACTCTGGAAAAAGGAACTGGCATGCCAGGCACAATCAGCAACCCACAGGCATCAGCAGCTTGCATGCTGCCACGTGCGAGGAGGGGGAAGCAAGGGGAGATAAGGAGGAGGACGATGACGAGGAGGAGGAGGTAGAGGAGGATAAAGGAGGACAAGGAGGAAGAGAAATAGAAGCAGAAGGACAACGACAAGGAGGGCAGGAGGAGGACAACGAGGAGGAGGAGGACGACGAGGAAGCAGGAGGCTGAGAACAAGAACGAGGACACGCAGGAGGAGGAGGAGAAGGGGGGTTAGCCTTAATCACAGAGCTTTCCCACGGTGCGCCAGTTTTGGCATTATCAGACATTGATTGATGATCAGCACGCACAATTACTCTTCAGGGTCTGTCAATCATAACGGTAGTGAACACGGTAAGGCTGAAATACAAATTTCCTCCACAAATATAAGATCGTATACATGTCAATATAAAGATTCTTTGACACTAATATTATTATATAAATGGTTTGGAAAATGAAAAATAATAATACATGAAAAGAGACGTATTGATTATGATACGATCAACTGGTCGTAATGATTGTTGCGATAGTACTGTAATATCGAGGGCCGCCCTTGCAGCAGCCCCGTATTGGCCTTCAAAAAAAAAAAAAAGAAAAAAAAAAAGAAAAAGGTAATATCGTGGTCTTGCAGCAGTCCCGCCTTGGCTTAAAAAAAAAAAAAAAAAAAAAAAA